CCCGGGAACGGACCACGTTGGCGATCCGCGTACGAGCGATCGGACGGCCTAGATCAAGCGTGCGCACGAACGGCCCAGATGCAATCGCGCGGACGACCCAGATTCAATAAAAAACGGACGGCCCAGATTAAATCAAAATGGACGGCTGAGATCAAAAGGCAAAAGGGTATAAATAGAACCCCCACACCTGACCACAAAAACCCTAGCCGCCTGCCCTCGCCGGAGAAGACGAACCAGATGCCGGAGAAGCCGGCCGCCGCCACCCGCCGCCGCACCGGGGAGATTTCCGACCGCCGATCGAGGTAAATTTCATACTCCCGACTCATTTTTCCACGCTGATTTTCCCTGTGGCCAAATCGGAGCCAAAATCCCGGCCAAACAGCCGGAAAATACGGCCGAAACCCAACGGCGCCGCCGCGCCCCTCCTCAGTTTTTGCCTCCGATGAGGCCCTTCCCGGCCTCCGTTTGATGCAATTTTTATATCACCATGATCACCATTCTTTTCTCTATAGGTTGATCGGAGCCGAATCACCAAAACACGAACCTCACCAGAGAGCCGCCGCACCCGAGAGCACCGCCGCCGGCAAGCTTCGGTTTTCCGTAATTTTTTGGCCCCCCGAGGGCCCTAGGGTTGTTTTATCGCAGGGACCGATGCAAGTGTGGCTGAATCGCCGCCGCAAGCGGCGGCGCTGTCGCCGGAGCACGGCGGAGCCGTGCTGCCGGAATTGCGATATTGGCCAAAAAGGGGCCCTGGGCCTAATTTGGGATTTTTTGGAACACATGCAGGTACCGGTAGTGCATTTCAGTTCCCCAGAAAAAATTCAGGAAAAATTAGAGACAGCCTGTAGGCGCACTGTGAAGCTGTGTTCGGACCCCGAAACGAGTAAGGACCCCTTACCCTATTTCCTATCACGGTATTAAAGTTCAATAATGATAAAACGGTATTTCTTGAATCAACGAATGTGTAAAATTGTTTAAGATCGCTAATGGAGCCCGAGTCTAGTGTGTTTGTCGGTTAACTGTTATTTGGCCTGTTTTACAGTTTTAAATGCAGTATGAGGTTTAATGTTTTCATTTCATAGTTTCGTGTGCATATTTTATTGTTTTATTGATTATGGGTTGAATGACCGAGAAACTGATGCTGTATGTTGTCTTGTTTGACATAAATTACTGTTTTGCTTGTTTGTATGTGAATTGATGATGCTGACTGAGGAAAAGGAGAATGAAAGATTATGTAGATTGATAATTATCTAATGTGGTTAGCCTGACTAGATATCCTGGGAGATGGTGGACGGACCGGGTCCGTAGGGAACCCTACCGGGATTGTGGTCTCTTATACCGGACGGGGTACGAGGACCTTATGTGTTTTGGCGCCCATACCGGACGGGGTATGGGGACGGCCATGGAATCTGATTACAAGTGTTAAGGGTTAACGGGTAGTGGGACCCCTATGGATCCCCATGGATACTAGTAGGCTGGTAAATGAGAATAAATATGTTGTGTAATGATTGAATTACAAAAGGCGTGATAAGTATTATGTTATACAGTTTATATGATTTCATGATGATGATAATGTTATTGCTTTCGTATATTGTTTTATGAATTTCACCGAGGTAAGTGGATGGTAAAGGTTTTATTATTAATAAAAGGATTTGTTGTAAATCATGCTCCATTGGTCTTCTTGTGTTTTCTACCCACCTTTACCTCCGTGACGGTGAGATATCGTGATGTCTTTACTGGGCTAGTGTAGCTCATTCCTTATTTAATCATTTTAGATCAGGAAGACATTGTTCCCGAGCCCGTTCCGCAGGAAGACGACGAAGGGGACGCCTAAAGACTCCATAGTCATATTCATAGCTTTTACTTTCGAATTTCTCTTTTAGTTAGTTTGATCTTTTATATTTTGAGCACGTTTTTGGTTTTAGTGTAAGGGATATTAATCGAAATTTTTGACTTCGCTTCCGCATTTGACATTTTTAATACACATATTTCATTTTAAATTTGAGGGGCCGTTACACTTTTGCCAATGGCCTCTGGATTGTGTATCAGAGTCGAACATGACTTGCAAACGCATTTGAATCTCATCAAACTCTTGGCTGGACATTTTAGCAGGAGAGAAACTATTATGTCTTATATCCAAGACTTATGAGCTAATGTCATCTTTGACTACTCACTGTATTAACATATGCATACGTATATATACATATATATAACAGGGGATATTACACGTACATATATGAAAAGTTTTCTATGTATATATCAACGGTTAGGTTATAGTGCATGAATATTCTATTTTTTAAAATTTCATTTACTGTAAAATCTTACACAGAAAAGATATCTTGATGTAAAGACAATATTTAAATGTCTCCTCAATCTCTAGTTTTGGCAAATATCTCAATGTATTTGGATTATTCAAAAATTCAAAAACTTGACCAATACAAATTAATTAGAGATAATTCTTAATTTGTATTATATTAATATTTTATAAAACTTAAGTTTTTAAAAATATTTATTGGTCTCAAAATTAGACAAGATTAATCTTTATATTTGTTCTTAATCAATAATTTAATATCATATCAGTAGTAATTTATATTCGTAATTTGATATTGGATAGATAATATATAATCATTTATATATAATTAATATTCTGAGTAAAATTAAACGAACTAAAAATCGAGATATCTTATATATATATATGGAAGGTTTTGTATGTATATATCAACGGTTAGGTTATATTATATGAATCATTCTTTTTTTAGAATTTCATTTACTGTAAAATCTAAAAGAAGAAAAATATCTCGAAATATTTAAATGTCTCCTCAATCTCTAGTTTTAGCAAATATCTTAATGTATTTAAATTATTTAAAAATTTAAAAACTTGACCAATACAAATTAATTAAAGTCAATTCTTAATTTATATTACATTAATATTTTATAAAACTTAAATTTTTAAGAGTATTTATTGGTCTTAAAATTAGACAAGGTTATGCTTTATATTTATTCTTAATCAATAATTTAATATTATATCAGTAGCAATTTATATTCGTAATTTTGTATTGGATAGATAATATATAACCATTTATATATAATGAATATTCTAAATCAAGTTAGACGAATTAAAAATTGAGATATCTTATATATATATATATAGAAGGTTTTGTATGTATAAAAAATTTAAATTTTAAAAATAAAGATATATTACCCCCATAAGCCAAACCCTACAGTTGAGAGTATGTAAATATTACTTACTTCATAATCATCCAACAAAAAAAATATATATATATATAATAAATATTTCAAACTATTATAAACAAAAGAAAGATAAGAAAAGATTTAAAATTAAAAAGGGTAATTATTAGATGTTAAGTGATGATACAAATGACTTGATAAATTTTAATAAATGATTATTAGATATTATGTGATGATGATACAAGTTGACATATTACTTAGAGTTTGCAGGCTCTAAAAACATAAATTTACGGTTCAGTTAAATATCATTTGTAACAATGATTAATATACATCTACTATTAGAGAAATATTATTTTTAATTTTACTTTTGAAAATTTTCAGGTCTTGTAAAATATGCAGAGTAAACTTCTTCGGTGCATATTGTCCAAGAAAAATTCGTTATATAACTGAATTAAATATCTTTTAAACTAAAATTTACACAAAAAATAACTTAAAATAACGAAAATCTCAAATTGTTTCATTTACAAAGTGCATTTAGTTGCAAATTACAATTTAATTTCGTTTATTTAATTAATTTTTTCTTATATATTTTCACTATATTATTGAAACAAATAATTTTATTTATAAATAAAATTTTTTGGAATCTTTTTCATCCGTACGAGAAAGCGAACAAATTGATAGTGAAAAAGAAGATGAGCACCTCCACTTCATACATCAATCCCATGAACCTATCCACTTTATTATCTATGTATAATTTAATTAATAATATATTTTTGATACATATTGAATGATTTAATGTAAACGAAAATGAAAAAATTGAATTAAATTATTTTTAATATATTGGTCTATTTAAATAATATAGTATTTACTAATTTGAATAGAATTATTACGAACACTAAACCTTATATTTGAGAGTCTGGTAAATAATATTTTCATTTTACCCTAAATATTGCCATCCCTCTTAAATTGCGAAAAAGATTTGGGTTAATAATAATAATTTTTAATTAATTAAATTTAATTTATTCTACAATTGATTCTTTTTTCAGCTTAAGAGGAATATATACATATATATATATATATATATATGTATAAGTTAATAAGTGGAAGGACAAGTATGGCCCTGGGTCTCGGTCTGTGTCTAGGCTTGGATGATAGTTTGGGCCTTGGTCTCCGTCTAGACATTGGCCTGGGCCTGGACGTATGGAAAATCTTAATGTGATATATTTATTCTCTGTCAATGGCGCGGAGGGCAACAGCTAGGAACCGACCCGAGATTCCAACACAAGTAAAGTAACGGTAAGTTGAGGGCATAATAAGAAATTCACTTTAAAATTTAAACTCTGTTTTCCTGATCCGACGAGGAGAAGATGAGTCTCTGTTTCTAAGAAAGAAGAAGGATAAGAAGCGGAAATCCAAACAAGACATTCACTGTTTGTTTCCATTCTTGTTTTCAAGAATAGGAAGAAGAGACTCTCTGGGTTCCCTTCCATTGTTTTCATTCTTCTGCAAATCGCTTCTGTGGTAAGAAAAAGAGAGATTCAACCTCTGTGTTTTCTTTTAGGCCTTCTCTGTTCCAAATCGATAGAAGGGATTTACAGTTTGTCTCCGTTCTTGTTTCGAAATAGAAGACATTCTCTGTCTTTCCTTCCATTTTTTTCATTCTTCTGCAAATCGCTTCCCTTTCTTTGCTTCTGTGATAAGAAGAAGAGAGATCTCAATCTCTGTTCTCTTTCAGCCTTTCTCTCTTCCAAACAAACCGTTGAAACCTTTCCTTCTTCAGATTCTCTATTGCCTGCGAGAAAGATTTCAAGATGGATGAAACATTGGAGATTCTTGCAGCTGCCAAGAAAACCGCTGATTCTGCAAACATAAAGGGTATTCTTCGTGGTAAATCTGACATTTCCAGATGTGTTGATTGTTTGAAGAAGCTTGAAACCTGTCCCTTCAATGCTGAAATCATCAACACCCACAACATCTACAAGACGCTTCAAAATCTCTGCAAGCACAAGAGCAGAAAGATCTGCTCTGCAGCTTCCCGGCTTATCAATGTGTGAAAGAAGAGAGAGATCAAGGTCTCAAAAAGGTTGACGCGGCCAGGTATCATTCGCATCAAGTTGCGCCCTGCACCTCCTGCTCAGCCTAGTTCTCACAATGTTTCAAACTCGCCCCCTCTTCAACCCTCATCTCTGAAGATGGAAGAGTCAACCAAAGCTTCGAACAAAGGGCTCATCATTCGTCTCAAGATGCCATTGCAAACTCCTGTTCAACCTTCATCTCAGAAAGTGGAAGATGCACCAAGAAAAAAAGTCAGGGCCATGCTTGAAGAAGCCTTCTCAAAGGTAGCATCAGAATCTAGGGGAAAGATTGGAAAGAATATGTGTTTGAGGGATCCTGTTGAGGTTGCTGCAATGTTGGAGTCTGAGATGTTTACTCAGATGGGTACTTGCCTTGGTAATCAAAAGATGAAGTACAGGTCCATTCTGTTCAACCTGAGGGATGCAAAAAATCCAGACTTGAGGAGAAAGGTTCTTTGTGGAGATATCAAACCTGCTGAGCTGATCAAGATGAAAAGTGAGCAGATGGCAAGCAATCAACTTAAGCTTGAGATGAGTGAGATAAGAAACAGGGCTGCACTTAGGGAAGAGTCTTTGATATGTCAACTTAGGTATCAAGAGAGAATATAATGCTCTATGCCTCTGTCTCTTGATTTCAACATTGTTGATCTATTAGTTACATACCTGTGCCAATTTCTAGGTATGACTAGCCAAATGAGGTAATTGTAGACTGTCTTTTAAGTTATATTCGGTTTTCAGATGAAAAAACGAATTGTCTCTCATTAATTTTTCTTAAGAATTAATTAGCAGGTTAAAATTGTTTTTGGGATTTTGGTTCTGTATCATATATTTTTTTATTTTGATATATGATTTTCTTGTTTACGTTATTCTGTAAGCTGATTGTGTTTATTCTTGTAGGTAATATGGGTCAGTTACAAATATTTCATGTTTTGTGCTGAGAAATCCGAAGAAAAATCAGAGAAGAAGAGAAGCAAAATTGAGGCAAAAAACCAGATTTTTCTGCTTTATTCATAACCGTAAAAGGTAGACATGATCTATTGTCCAAGACAGCCGCTATGATACTAAAAATAGAAAAAATATTTTTGACTCTCTTAAGCAAAACAAGGTTATACACTAACACAAGTTTTGTACAACTTAAAAACAAATTGTCAACCCTCCAACACTAACTTTTGCTAACAATGCCAATCATCGTTCTTAAGGCCTCAAACCTGTGCGTGGGAAGTGGTTTGGTAAGGCAGCAGCCAGTTGCTCTTCAGACTAGCAATGCTGCAAATGAACTTCTTCCTCCTTCCCTCTTTTCTCCCATAATGATATTTAATCTTGATGTATTTGATCTTTTCATGAAACGCAAGATTCTTTCTGATAGACACAGCTGATTAGTTGTTATAAAACATGGTTGTAGGGTCATTTTGCTTCTGATCAAGCTCATTAAGAACCTTCCTAACCCAGATGGTCTAATTCACCGCACTTGCTGCAGTCACATACTCTGCCTTTAGTTTTTTGGTTAGAAATTTGAAGTAATAGTGCATACGGTTCTTTGAGCCTCTTTGAAAAATTCAATGAAAAGGCATGAAGATTTAGCTGATTTGAAACTTTTCATTTTTTGTTTCTCGGCTTCTATTTTCCTTTGTGGATTGTTCTTCTAGGCATCTGTCTACACAACAACAATTTCTGGAATGAGGAATTCTTTTAGGGGATGAATTGAGGGAATTATGATTATGTGTGTCTTCTGCAGCAGCAACAGTGATTTAACTGGTGTAGGTGCTGCGGTTATGACTATTGTGTGTTTGTGCTGCAAATGGGTGTACTAATTTGGTATTTAATATCTCCTTTATATATGCATAAAGTTTACTTCTTACTAGAATTTTCCATTATGCAGATAATAACGACCCAGGCAAGTGTTTGTGACATTATTGAAACTGTACCATTTATGAGCAAAATCTCAAGAGAGAATCCAAAACTCTATAACTAGTCGAACTACAATTTGTCATATGACCTATTCCACTATCTCTTGATTTCAACATTGCTGATCCACCAGTTACGTACTTGTGCTATTGCTTTGTTTGGAGTTTAGGAGAATAGACTAGGATATTATTATAAGTTAGAGAACTAATAAAATTGTTTAAGATGAAAGATTTTTATTTGTGCTTCTCTTCCTAAAATCTGATCCATGTGTTAAGCTGTGATCCCGCTTGTGAACTAGCTATCATGGTTTTCCTACAAATAGTTAAACTTTTTTTAATACATAAATTTTTGGGACGTTTTCGTGTACATAGTCGTGATGAGTTAATTTAGATTGTTAAAGATTAGATTTTTTCTTGGTTAATTAGATTAAGTTTGTTGAAAACATTGAAAAGCTTGAATCGTACATTCATAAAAATGAGAGAAATAACTCGCATTGCTTGACTGGTGACTAAATTCTGCTTTTGGCTGATTTGGAGGAAAATCTTGGGTTTGTTAAAGCCTTAGTAGATGTTTTTAATGAGCATATGGCACCAGAATGAATGAGGCTGCATAGGCCAAGCATTCAACATTTTGTTGTTAAAACATTCTGGATCAAAGATCAACCTCTGAGTTTTTTCTTTCTGGACCTCTTTAACAGAGTATTATATTTTCTCTCTTTATTATGTTCTGCTTGTTGAACACAGCTAAGGTTTTTGCTTGTCTGGGTGCCTGTGATAAAATGTATATGTGCCTGTAGGATTTAATGTGTATGTGCCTGTTTTTTCTGTTTGTGATTAATCTTGGATTTATTTTTTCTTACATGGTAGTTGAGATGCATGAAATATTTAGTCTTTTAGTGGTAAACTTATTAAATTTAATCTTATCGAATAAAAATCGTTTAAATTTGAAGTGATTTGCTCAATAAGATTTGAAATGATATGCAATAAGCTGTAGCTTATTTCCCACACTAGTCACGAAGTTATATATCAGCTAAACAGTTGCCAATTGGTTTGTTTAGTTTATTTAATTTCCAATCTTATGCTTTATATCTTCTATTTAATTCTTGCTTGTGTTTACATTTTATTACTTTTCAAGTTTGTAGCCAGTGAAAGTTGGCCTTCATTACAGATATATATATATTCAAATGACAATATCCTTAACTCAGTCTTCATTCCTGCTGAGAATATTTTCTTGACATAGCAAAACAAGTTTATCATACATAAACTTGGGTAAAACAAAATTTCTTTGGTCGACAGCCGAATTGTCAATCCTTCAACATTAGCTCCGTTAACAATTCCGATCATCTTTCTAAAGGCTTTGAACCTGTTCTTGGGAAGTGGCAGCTGCTTTTCGGACTTGCAATGCTGCAAACGAACTTCTTCCTTCTTCTCTACTTTCCTCACAAAGTAATATTTAATTTTGATGTATTTGGTCTTGCCATGAAATGCAGGATTCTTAGTAATAGACACAGATGACTAGTGGTTAGAAAACACGGCTGTAGAGTCATTTTGCTTTTGGTCAAGGTTCTTAAGAACCTTCCAAAGCCAGATGGTCTAATTCACTACACTTGTTGCAGCCACATACTCTGCCTTTGCTGTAGATAGTGCAACTATTCTTGTTTCTTTGAGTTCTAGCTTATCATACATGATTCAAGGTGAAAAACATGCTCGTAAGTGCAGTTCATGTCATCCACGGAACCTCCCTAATCACTATTAGTGAACCCCTTCGATTTAACTTCAGGTTCATAATAAATTTTATAGTAAAGGAATCCTCTTATATACCTCAACAACCTTCTCCCGGCCTTGAAATGTAGTTCACCTAGAGATTGCGTGAGTCTTGAGAGTAAACTAGCTGCATTAGTGATGTTTGGCCTAGTGGATGTCAAGTATAATAACCAACCATTAGGTCATTGAAACAACATTGCACCTTCTGTAAATATCTTGCAAGCCTCTAGTTCCTCTCACAACAAAATCTGGTATCCTTTCTTTAGCAGGTTCAAAGGAAGTTTCTTCATCATCCCTAACAACAAACCAATTTCTTGAGACCTCCACCTGAGTTTTATCCCATTTCCAGTGTGATTTCTCACCTACTTTGACATTTACCAAAAATCCCTTGTAATTTTGCTTTTATTTAAAATGATGCCAATTCTTGTCTTCTCTTCTAGCTTATCTCCCTGGTCTCTAGAATGTGGACGCAGTAGATGCTTCCGAGTATTTTCAAGTGCTCCACCGTTGGTTTAGTTCCATGGCAAGCCTCATAACATGATCTGTTTTGCAAAGAAACAACCACATTCACAGCCTCCCACCAAAAACCCTTTGGCAATATTTTGTTTTCCAAACATGAGTCACATAGCCATCTCCGTAATTATTTTACTTTTCTTTCACTCGTATAATTTTGTTATGGGAAATAAGAAAATTTGAGCTGATGTTGAATCCCGTACTGCTCATAAAAGTTGTTGAAGCTGTTGTTGGTATACCTAGTGTTATTATCGGATCTTATATCTTAATTTTCTCTTCATACTAACTTTCAGCTATCGTACTAAATCTCTTAAACAATTTAAACACCTCAATTTTAAGCTTTAAGAGGTATACAATAAAACCTTTGAAAAGTTATCAACAAAAATAGAAGTATTTATTCTCAAGTAAAGAGGAATTACTCGTAACAAAACACATATATGTATCGATCAGCTCCAATCACTTCGCTTCCCAATTTCACATACATTACAGACTCTGGGTAAGTCACTAAAAAAGGCATGTTTTTCACAAGAATTTTCTATTTAAACTCTTAAAAAATTGCACATTGCAGTGCTCAAATCTCTTGTACCATAAATTGGCATCATATATTATACCCACATTAGCATAAGCATGATTCTAATGTAAAGAAAAACTTATATTTTTCATTTCAAGCGAAAATAGTTCGTACCCACTAGGATATATTGTAGAGCATGTTTTGCTTTATGATAGGCCTTAGTATTTAGCTTTGGTGAAAATTAACAAAGTATTAAATTTTCTTGGTTAATTAGATTAAGCTTGTTCAAGATATTTGGAAAGTTCGGATCACAAGGCTACAAAGATTTAGAGAAATAACTAACATTGCTTGACTGGTGGCTGAATTCTGCTTTGGGCAAGTGTTTGTGACATTAATTAATAATATATTTTTTATTCATATTGAATGATTTAATGTAAGCAAAAATGAAAAAATTGAATTAAATTATTTGTAAATAATATTTTTATTTTGCCCTAAATATTGTCATCACTCTTAAATTGCCAAAAAGATTTGGGTTAATAATAATAATTTTTA